AAAGTGAAATGTTTTTATCACCTATTCCCCATAATCACAAATGTGCATAAAATGCATATGCATATTGTCAAAGATTTGAAGTAAGTGATTGATATAGGATGATAGCAATTTTTTCTGTGTAAAAATGTTTCTGCAATATTATTACATTGTCTGTTGAAAGTTGTCAGGTTACAAAAGTCAATGACCAGAAGGCTTGTTGTTCCTGAAGGTGAACTAAGGACTCCCAAGAATGTGTTGTGGGTCAAGGAGGAGGGAAGCTGGCCACCTTCCTATCTCCAGTCTTTAGGAGGAGATCAAAGCAGGACAGCCTTGTTTGTGCAGCCAAGCCATGTACTCAAAACATGTGAAGGAACCCGTCTGTGCCCTCGGCGTGCCATCTATCCCGCAGGTGCTTCCTCCTGCTTGTGGGCGGGTGCGGTTCTCCATTATATCCTGACCCGCCACTGCCCACGAGTATGTCCGTAATAAAATATCCAAACCCCCTCTGTTGAGTCCTCCAAGTTCTTTCTCTGGAATCAGTATAACAGCATGCTGGGGGCTTTGCAAACCTGGGGTTGAATAGAGGTATGTAAGGTCTAGGGATCTAAAGTTTAGGTCTCGGGGTAGAGCACTTGCCTGCATGAGCAAGCCCTGGGCTCCATCCTAGAACTGCAATTTAAAAACAAAGTTATGAATAAATATAGATTTTTAAGGAGAAGTGGTGGAACCACGGCCTCACACATGGGAGGCAAGTGCTCTACCATTAAGTTATACCCCCAGTCCTATAAAATTATTTATTAAGAAAGGATCTTGGGGCTGTGGCTCAGCGGTAGAGCACTCGTCTAGCATGTGCGAGGCCCTGGGTTCGATCCTCAGTACCACATAAATAAATAAAATAAAGGTATTGTGTTCAACTACTTCTAAAAAATAAAATTAAAAAAAAAAAGAAAGGATCTTATGGGATGGGGTTGTAGCTCAGTGGTAGAGCGCTTGTCTCGCATGTATAAGGCACTGGGTTCAATCCTCAGCACCACATAAAAATAAATGAAATAAGGATATTGTGTCCATCTACAACTAAAAAAAATATTTAGAAAAAAAAAGAAAAGATCTTATGGGGCTGGGGATATAGCTCAGTTGGTAGAGTACTTGCCTTGCATGCACAAGGCCCTGGGTTCAATCCCCAGCACCACCACCAAAAAAAAAAAGGATCTCATGGGCTGGGGTTGTGGCTCAGTGGTACAGCTCTTGCCTAGCATGTGTGAGGCACTGAGTTCAATTCTCAGCACTGCATAAAAATAAATGGATAAAATAAAGGTTCATCAATGTCTTTAAAAAAAAGAAAAGAAAGAATAATTGCTTAGTTGCTGAGATAGAGGCTGGCCTGTACCTTGTGATCCTCCAACTTCAGTCTCCCAAGTAAACTATGATTTAAGGCAGGCATCACTGTGCCTGGTTTAAACTTTTTTATAACTTGAATTTTGTGCCATGTGACTATATTAACTATTAAGGAAAACACACATACGCACATGCGCGCGCACACACACACACATCCGAGAGTCTTATAGGGCCAGAAGGTGACATAAATATTATGAATGAGGAAACAGGTAATTGGTTCTACTTTGTTAGCTGTAAAGACAATAGGAAAGAATCTAGCCCTGATTTATTTTGGGGCACAGAAAATTGCCTATTTAAAAAAATTATTTTTTAGTTGTAGATGGTCACAATATCTTTATTTTGATTTTATTTTTATGTGATGCCAAGGATTGAACCCAGGGCCTCACGTGTGCGAGACAAGAACTCTACCACTGAGCTACAACCCCAGCCCCGAAAATTGCCTATTTATTTAAGAGATTGCCATGAGCAAAAGGCTCTTAATGTTCCTGTTATTTGTGATCCCTATATTTTTGTGAAGAGATTTAAAATTAGGCTGTTGTTCAGCTTTTTCCACAAAAGTATGTTAGAACTTTAGGCATTTCATTAGTTTTGTTTTTCTTTTTTCTTTTCTTTTTTTTTTTTGAGATAGGGTCTTGCTATGTTGTCCAGGCTGGTATCAAATCATGGGTTCAAGGGATCATCCTGCTTCAGCCTCCTGAGTCGCTAGCTAGTATAGCTAGTTGTGCACCACAGGGCCAGGCTTACCTTTTCCTTTTTAACTTGTCAAAATCTTCATGTCTGATTGACTGTTTTTGTGTGTGGTGCCACAGTCTGGCTGGGCACAAATGCCTCAGTCTGGCTGGGCACACAATCACGAGCCACCACACAGCTTGTAGATTCAAACAGCAACTCTTTATTCCCGAACTCACACCAGCCGTCTACAATCACGTTCTGGGGAAATCCATGTTCTCTGCCCAAATCCACCTCCACTGGGCTTCTGTCTCCCAAAATATACTGTCTGAATCCCGTGAGAACTCAAGGGGAACTCAGGCAGCAGGATACGCCCTATTCCCAGCAGGAATAATCTTAAACCTTAAACCTGGAACCTAAACCGGGAACGCCCTAATCCGCCTTGGTCCTTGAGCAAGGTCACCTACATTCAATGTCACTGCAACATGGGGTACGCTGGCAAGGAAATTGTCATACCTACTTGGCTAATGGCTCCCAGCAGTGTGGTGCTGGGGATTGAACTCAGGGCCTTGTGCCTGTGGGGTAGACACTCTACCAACTTGCTATATCCCCATCCCTACCTAGACTCTTCCTTGTGAGGGGTGCTAGGGATTGAATGTAGGACTGCTCTACCACCGAGCTATATACCCAGCCTTTTTGATTTTTTCTTTTGAGACAGGGTCTAAGTAGCTGAGGCTGGCCTCAAACTTGTGATCCTCAGCCTCCTGAGTGGCTGGGATCACAGATGTGTCCACAGTCCCTATATTTTTTCAATACTCTTCCCACAGGATTTATTCCAGTCTTCTAAAGAAGTCAGCAAACTATGGCCTGAGGCCAAATTCAACTTGTTTTTGTTTAGCCCTTTACAGCTAAAAATAGTTTTGACATTTCTACATGGTTGAAAGAATGAACAAAAGAATATTATGAAATTCAAGTTTCAGTGCCCATAAATAATTTTATTGGAATATAGCCATCATGGTTATTCTTTTTATGTACTGTATCATCTATGGCTGCTTTCATGCTCCTTTGTCAGGGTCAAGGAGGTTCACTATAAAAATCGGAAATATTTGCTGTCTGGTCCTTCACAGAAAGTCTGCTGCTGACCCTGTGCTAAAGGGCTCTGAATGAGAGTCTCACAGAGCCACTGCTGTTTGGTGTGATAGACTCACTGCATTAATAGCGCCTGTTTTTGATCACTCTTTCTTGTATCTATGCCTTTTTTTCCCCTTTGGTGCAGGGGATTGAATCCAGGCCCCTGAGCATCCCAACACATGCTCTTCCACTGAGCTCCACTCCTGCCCTTAGCCATACCTTCTGTCTGGAATCTTGTATTACTTTCCACATAGGCTCAGTCACATGACTCACTTTGCCCAGCGGGAGTCTAAGCAGAGGCTCAAAATGGTATTGCACACTGGAGATTTTTCTCTCCTGCTCCTCTGCCTCTGTGGTGTGAACAGACCCAGGCTAGTCAACTATAGGATGAATCATGTGACTCAGCTGAGTAACCTGTCATTTCACCTGAGGTCATCATAGGTTAGCCAACATTAAGGACCTCAAGATCATCACAACTGCTTAGCCCACCCACAGCTGACCACAGACAGACATGTGAGCAGGTCCAGCAGAAACCACCCAGACCCAGCCCAGATCAGCTGAACCCCAAGACTCTGGAGCCAGGGAACTGTTTTTTGTTGTATCCCACTTAAGTCTGCCAGTGGTCTGTCACACATTATTTTGCTACCAGAAAACAGCACATGAATTTTTATTTTTACTGGTTTTTTTTTTTTTTTTTTTTTAGTACAGGGGATTGAACCCAGGGGTGCTTTACCTCTGAGTCATATCTGCAGCTCTTTTTATTATTTTTTAAAATTTTTTAAGTACCAGGGATTGGCACTGGACCCCTGAGCCACGCCTCCAGCCCTATTCTGTATTTTATTTAGAGACAGAGTCTCGCTGAGTTGCTTAGTGCCTTGCTTTTGCTGAGGCTGGCTTTGAACTTGTGATCCTCCTATCTCAGCCTCCTGAGCCACTGGTCTTTTTATTTTTGAGACAAGGTCTTGCTGAGTTGCTAAGGGTCTTGCTAAATTGCTGAGGCTGGCCTTGAATTTGTGATCCTCCTATTTTAGCTTCTGGAATTGCTGGGATTAGCATGTGAAATTTTTTTTTTTTGTACCAGGGATTGAACCCAGGGGGTGCTTAACCACTGAGCCACATCTTCAGTACCTTTTTTTTTTTTTTTAAATAAATATTTTTAGTTGTAGATGGGCATAATACCTTTATTTGCCTCACACTTGCTAGGCAAGTGCTCTACCCTGAGCTACAACTCCAGCCTTCCTTTTTTTTTTTCTTAGTTGTAGTTGAATACAATACCTTTATTTCACTTATTTATTTTTTTGTGGTGCTGAGGATCAAACCCACGGTCTCGCATATGCAAGCGAGCGCTCTACTGCTGAGCCACAACCCCACCTCCCCTACACTCATTTTTAATGTTTTATTAGGGTCTCGCCAAGTTGCTTAGGACCTTGCTAAATTTATGAGGCTGACTTTGAACTTGCAATTCTCCTGCCTCAGCCTCCTGAGTCACTGGGATTACAGGCATGCACTACCACACCCAGCTTAGCATATGAATTTTTAAAATGTCTTCTGCCAAAAAAGCTAAGGAGCATTTTATTCTTCTGAGGATAATCTCAGCCTCTGATAGGGAGAGTGTCTGAATGAAGCATAGATAGATGTCTGGAATCCATGGGGTGAGGCAGCAGATAATTACATCCTGAACTTCTGCAGAAATACTTTATCTCATAATGAACTCAATAAATGTCCATATTTGTTCTCTGGCTCAATCTGCCCACTGGGTCAAACAGGTGCTGAGGGTAGGACTTGGTATACCTCTTAACCATGGAGTGATCTAGCCAGACAGATTCCACCATTTATGAAAAAAGAATTTATTTTCTATTTACAAAATGTAAAAAAGTATCTTAGGTATAAAAATCTAAATGTCTAAGAGGGGATCAGTCAAGAGCACCCAACTACCACGCTGCATCCTTCAGTCACCAGAGCGTGGTGTCAGGAAGGTGGAGACTAGTAGGTTCAAAGGGTGAGCCACAGCCTCGGCAGAGGGGAGGGGTGCAAGGAGTGGAACATGGCGGGGAAGGAAGGAAAGGGTGGAACTGAGGTAGGGGAGAGGAGGCACTACGCACAGGAGTCTGTTGGGGAACTCGTGGAACTTGTGAGAACACAACTGGCCCAAGCATGTCCTAGGGAAGTCCAGCTATTTCCTGGTGCAGAGGCCGATCCTTCCTGAAGAGCTTCTATCAGGAAGGAAAGGCAGCCATCAGTGTGACAAGAAGCAGTCACCTTCGGACTTGCATGAACTCCTTGCGCAGCCATAGAGAGTCCTGGTAGAAGCGTGGGTCGCCCAGTCTCACGGCCGTCCGTTTGTAGAAGTAGCAGTACAGCACTGCCGCTGGGGACAGAGCAGAGAAGAAGCCTCTGGGGTGATCCTGAGAACTCCTTTAAGGGTGGGAACCCAGCCTCCAAGCTCAGGGCCTGCCTCAGGGCTTCCCACTGTCTCCCTGTAAGGAGTCTTCTGTTCTTGACATGACTGTCCCAACCATCCCAGGCCAGCTGTGAGGGGCTACAAGGCCAGGATCAAGGCTAGCACAAAAAGTAAGCCTGAGGCTGCTGTGGTCCTTACCCAGTCTCTGGAATACAAACAGTGTTTGAAGTCCATCTGTCCAAACAAAGCTGTTGGAATTTTTCCAGCGTAAGTTCTGAAGAAGATATGAATAGAAAGGAAAGGGTTAATAGCTGCATGTGGCTCTAACATCTCCAACTTGTTTAGAGGCAGAGATGCCACTTGGTAGAAATTCATGCTATTCCCCCCTCCTTCCTGCTTTCTGTAAGGCCAAGGAGTGTTTCTTTTTTGTACTGAGGATTGAATCCTTTGTTAGTGGAGCTGCATCCCAAGACCTTTTTATTTTGAGACAGGGTCTTGCCAAATTGCTTAAGGCCTGGCTAAATTGCTGAGGCTGGTCTTGAACTCACAATCCTCCTGTTTCAGCCTCCCAATTGCATGGATTACAGGTATGCACCACCAAATCCTGGCTGAAGGAGTGTTTCTGAAAGGAGCCTCAAGCTCCTCCTTTCTTTTTCTTTTAATATTTTTTTAGATGTTGGTGGACCTTTATTTTATTCATTTATTTATATGCAATGCTGAAAATGGAACCCAGTGCCTCACACGTGCGAGGCAAGTGCTTTCCCACTGAGCCATAACTCTAGCCCCTTAAACTCCCTCCCCTATTTTTTGGTACCAGGGATTGAACTCAGGGGCACTCAACCACTGAGTCACATCCCCAGCCCTATTTTGTATTTTATTTAGAGACAGGGTCTCCCTGAGTTGCTTAGCACCTCACTTTTTGCTGAGGCTGGTTTTGAACTTGCAATCCTCTTGTTTCAGCATCCCGAGCCGATGGGATTACAGGCATGATGGGATTACAGGCATGCTCACGGGAGCTCCCTTTTTTTGATGCAAAGAGGATACCTTTAACCCTGAGGGAGGAAGTCTGAACTGAGGTATTTATCCCCTTTCATTCCACTGCCTTTGCCAAGCAGAAATGATATGGACTGTATCAGGAGTTCTGCTGCTGTCTTGCCTTGAAAATGTCAAGCTCAGCTCCTGTCAGATAAAAGCTTTGGAACACTCAGTGTAATCAGATCAACAGCTTTAGCAGACAAAGCCAGGACCTATTTATGTTCCAGCACCTGGAGTACAAAATCCCTTACAGGAGGCAGACGCAGTGTCACATGCTTGTAATCCCAGCAACTCAGGAGGCTGAGGCAGGAGGCACAAGTTCGAAGCCAGCCTCAACAATTTAGCAAGATCCTCAGCAACATAACAAGACCCTGTCTCAAAATAAAAAATAAAAAGGACTGGGGATGTAGCTCAGCAGTAAAGCACTCCTGGGTTCAATTCCCAGTTTAAAAAAAAGTCACCTGCTGATACCATTTTCAGACTTCAACATTGTTCTGTTCCTTCCCTATAAGCTTATTTATCTCCATGAGATCACAAACTCTGTCCCCAGCCAGCTCATCAAAACAAAAAAACTCTAGTAATGAAGGGACTAGAGACACTGAGTATTTTGTTTGATTGACTGATTGTGGCCCAGGGCTTCATGCATGCTAGGCACAGGAAAGCACCCCACCATTGAGCCATGTCCCCAGCCCCAGCCCATCAAAAAAAAAAAAAACAAAAACAAAAAAACTCATGAAAGATGCACAAGATATCCAGAAATGGAAGAATTTATGCAGTACCCTGTATCAACCCATCTACCCAGGTAGCTAAAACAGATTCAACTTCCTGTTTTAGCTCTGACAGGCCTCCTTGGTGCAAAGGTACACTGAATAGTCCAGGAGAGTCCTTAGACTCTTGGATAAGGCTGTTCTTCAACACAGAGAGCTAGACCCAAGTGCCTTTTGAAACTCTCATGTGCCCAGTGCTCTAGCACATCACTTTCATTTCACCTATCTCCCACCAAGGAGGCGGAGGGAAGCACATGAGTGATGCTGGATTCCCAGAGAAAAGATCTTACTAGCTCTTTAAAGATCTGAGAATTTAGAACTCCACTCTTACCATGACCCAGACATGAAGGGAGATGCTGAGCGCAAAGTACACAGCTGTCAGGATGATGGTCCCTTTGAACTTATGGAATAGGAGGTTGACCAAGCCAGCCTGGAAGACGAAGGTGTTGAAGAACATGAGGAAAATGATGATGATGTTGAAGAGGATTGCAATATCCTGGATGCTGCAGACATATAAAACATAAGATGGCCAAATGTGTGAGGACCCAAGAGCTGGGGACAACTTGAGATCTGTCCTGCCTTGAGATATAGTCACCCAGAACCCTCACCGAAAGCATCAGCTTTAGGACCCAAATGACATGAAGCTGCAATTACCCAGAATTATAGCCCACAGACACGATGTGCTCCTCTGACAGTCCTAATTTAATAAACCAATGAGGCATTTCTGAGAACCTAGTTTTCTCCCACACACACCAAATCTGTGTGTCACATACCTGGTCCTGCCAGATGATTTCATCTGGAAAGACAACAATGGACTTTCCCCATCTTTGGGTGGCCAGTGCCTTCATGCCATCCAAGTCCCAGTTCAAACGTTCCCCCTCTTTAGAAAAACTTTCCTGCAACCCCATTAACTAAAGTAAACCCCCCTCTCACTGCAGCTAGTTTACATCCACGTCTGATGTCACTATATTAAAATCTTATTTTGCTATACTCCGCCATTGTCTCTCCAGGAGAACAGAAACCCTGAGGGGGAACTGGTCAGGTTACCACTGCAACTACAACACTGGCTGCCAGGCCAATGAATGCTCACTGAACAAAGGAAGTTCCTTCCAGGAGTGTGGTTTGCAGCTTATGAACTGCCTCACGAAATCTGTAAATTATTGTGGAGAATAAATGCCAATACTTTCTATCCTACAGGAGTCATATATTATTAATGTGATTGTTCTTTTTTTTAAAAAAAATATTTAGTTGTAGAAGAACACACAGTATCTATTTATTTTTACGTGGTGATGAGGATTGAACCCAGTGCCTCATACATGCGAGGCAAGCACTTTACCACTGAGCTATAGCCTCAGCCTCATGATTGTTCTTTCAACCTGCTATATTGTAATTCTCTTTTAAGGCAAAGACAGTATTCTATCCCCAGATGAACAAAATGACAGGGTTAGTAGACCTTCATTTCCTATCTAAACTGTTCTCCAACTCTTGTTAGACATACATAAAAACAGAAAAAAAAAGGTATATAAAAAGAGGACCTGTGACTACATTTGTATACCATGAGAACTCAGGACATTGTTAAATTTCATTCTCCCTGGTATTTCTCTGATAATAACTATTTCATGTGGCAGGGACTGAATCTAGGGCCTCATGAATGCAAGTATACATGTAAGTACACATGCTACCACTGAGCTACAATCCAAGCCCACCTACTAATAACTTTAAAAATGCTAAGTCATGAACTTAATTAAGCAGGGCCTTCAAACTGCCTAAGTTCAGCTTTCCAGATCTACCCTCCGCACTCACATGAAGAGCACCAACTGGATGACAGGAGCTATTCGGAGTAGCTCTGAGAAGGAATTGACAAAGAGGTCATAGGACAGCAGCAGGAACTGCAGGGATAGCACCAGGCTGTAGTTACTGGTCTGAAGCATCTTTCTTCTGCTTTCTTGGGCCTCCAAGGGCACATTCCACAATTCCCTTAAAAAGAGTTCTTGGTTCTCTCCCCAACACTGAGGAGAAGTGTCTAAGTCTTCCAAATCAAGAGCTGTTGCCCTTATTCTCAGACAAGGACCTGTTGGGGCAAAAAGAGAGGCAAGGTTAGAAATCCATTAATATAATAAACATTTACTGAACACCTACTACTGTATGTCAGGCATGATTCCAGATGATTGGGATACATTAGTTAACAAAATCAACAACCAAAAAACCCACTTTGTCATTCCTTCTGGGGACCCTCACAGTCAAACTTTCTCCATGCCAGGATCCTTCTAAATGCAGAACTTCTCTAACCAAAAAACCGAGGGGTACTTCAGAGAAGAGTCTGCCTGATCATGTAGCAATAGTAATGTTAACAGCAGTCATATACATCACTTGCAGTGAGTCAGGGACTGTTGTAAGCACTAACATTCAAATCTCATAATAACCTCATGAAATAGAAAACATGTTTATTCCTTTCCCCATTTTACAGGTGAGAAAACTGAAAGACAAAATAATTTGTCCAAGGTCACAAAGCTAGTAAGTGGCAGAATTGGAGTTCTCATCCAGGTGGCCCAGGGTTGAGTCTGCTTTTTTTTTTTCCTTCTTCTGTTCTGAGAATCAAACCCAGGGCCTCTCACATGTTAGGCAAGCACTCTACCACTGAGCTACATCCCCAGAGTGTTCTTAACTCCTGCACTAAGCTGCCTCTTACATAGACAGATATGTGTATATGTAGGTCTATATGTCTGAGAGACTGATATGTAAGGAGGTAGGAAAAATATGTCCACATGAAAGTGGCAAGGGCAGAAACAGCCGGGAGGAAACAGGGCTCTCCAAAAAACTTTATGTTATGGTTGTGGAAGAAACACAGAGGCATCAAGTAAGGGGAGCTGGGCCTTTATTTTCATACATCTCAAGACCCACAAGCTGCTCTGTGATCCTGCAGCTTAGATCAAATCAAATATTCAATGTGCTTTAAAGTGTTAGAATGACTAAATTAGCATCTGTAAAAATGTTTAAAGTCTACACTCTAAATTTAGCCTAACTAGAATAAGATTTATTCCATGCTTGTACAATCATATCAAAACAAATTCTACTATAAAAAAATTCACAAATTCTTTTTTTATAACCACTTAATTCTAGGACTATCCTACAAATAAGCATTTTCATAGACATAATATCTATTTGCATGGAGATTCTAAAAGGTTAAAGCCCTCAACTAGCTCACTGGATTTAGTCCCACCTTACTGGATGGATGAATGTGGCTTCTCTGAGCTTGAGTTTCCCCACTTATTAAATTAAATAATATTGATAGCTATCACCCAGGTACCAGCACCAGAATCAACTTGTTAACCAAGATAGTTTCTTTTAATCCTTGCAACAACTCTGCAAAGTAGGAAAGCATTCTCCCCATGCTACACCAGGTCCGAGTTGTCACTCTTCCTGGTCGCAGAGCCAGGATTCCTAACTCGGGTGACGCACACACCACTTCACAGGCCTCTGGCGAGGTCTGTCAGGTAGACACACGTCGCTCTCCCGACTTGGACGCTCATTTCTTCCAGCGTAGGGCGGTGGGGACTAGCGAGGCACAGCCGCGCTCTTCGCCCTTCGTCCACCGCTACCTCCGGCCTTCGCCTTTTCTTGGGGCAGCTTCCCGCGTCCTTCCTAATCACTTAAAAAAGGGCTTGGCGTGGCAAAAAGCCCAAACCAAAAGGAACGGCAATAAAAATCCAGATTTCTGGGCACTCTCCCCACTGCTCATCAGTCACTCTCACCTCAAAGAACCAACGTCGGTTGTCATGGGGACACCATTCCGGCTTCCGGAAGCCGGCTTCAAATTCCGGAAGTCGATGGCGGACGCGGGCTCTTTCAGCAAACTGACCTCGGCTTCCTCTCCCCTCTCTACGGCAACCCAGCCTCCATGTTCGGGCCTTCGATTTCCCGGGCCCGCCTGGTCCTGGCCGTCCCAGCGTCGCCTTTCGCTGACCAGGGCTCCCGCCCACGTCTCCGGAGACCTTGCTTAGGGTCTGATCTTGGCGGCAAGCAGTGTATCAACCTGAACATTTCCGTCTCCTCGAGATGGGGTGGAAGGACAGGGCAGACGCGTTGTGACGCTCCTAGGCCCGACCCGGGCGTGGGGAAGAAACGCGGGTGGAGGAACCGGGTCGGGGAGCCGGCACCTGGCCGCGCAGGGAGCGGGTGATCCCGCGCCTGGGACTGCATTTCCCAGGCGGCCTCGCGCGCCACCGGAAGTGCTGCGAGCCTATAAGAGCGGGAGGCGGCGCCGGGCGCTGCACTGCCAGCTGAACCGGACTTGCCGGAGAGTCGGACCTCTACGTTCCAGGACACTGGGGAGTGGCGGTTCTGGTGTCGGGCTGAGAGAGGCGGGTTTCGGAGTCCCCGGCCCCGTGGCGTCCCACTGTGGTTAGGGGTGAGAAAGAGCCCGGGGTGGGAGTTAAGGGACCTGGGTTCCACTGCGGACTCCGCTGCTACCACTACCTCCTCTCGCGCTGTCGCGACCCCTCGCTTGGCCTCAGTTTTCCCTTTTAGGAAATGGACTCTCTTCTCCGTACCCTTCCTTCCACAGCTGGTGGTAATAAAAGGCACGAACGCTTTCGGAAGCCTCAAAAAGCTGGCGGAGCCCGCACACCTGTTTTTCACCCAAGATTTGCTGGGACCGAGCGCCTAGCAGAGGAGTCAGAATAGGGCCCCTGGGTGCCTAGAATGGTTAGACCTGAGGCAGTCTGAAGGACTGTCTGTGATCCGTGGTGCTAAGGAGGACTTTGTTTACCTACCTCCAGGCTGGAATATTGGGCTACACACTCCTGAATCCCGACTTACGAAGCTACCTTTGGAAGTAAGGAGTCCTAGGAGCTGAGGAGGAGTAAACCAGAGTGCCTGTACCAGCTCAGCCGGTCGCCTTGGCCAAGTCACTTTCCTTCTTTGGGCACCAGTGTTAACAGTGTTTTTGATCTGTTAAGATAAAGGGTTAGGGCTTGAACCCAAGGTTTGGGTTTCAGAATTTTTTTTCCCCCAGTACTGGTGATGGAACAAGGGGCGAGCTACCTCTGAGCTACATCCCCAGCACTTTTATAATTTAATTTTGAGACAGGGCCTCACTAAATTGTGGAGACTGACCTCAAACTTGGGATCCTCCTGCCTCAGCTTCTGGAGTGTTGGGATTACAGGCATATGTCACCATACTAGGCTTGAGTTTTAGGATTCTTAAAAGCCCCCCTATCCATCTATGAAGGAAAAGCAACAAACTGACTCTCTGTCCCTTCATCTGTGGTTGTAAATTATAAAAGTAACATTTACAGGAGTTTAAAATAGAGCTTTGTCCTGAATGGTGAATGGGCAATACTTCTTTCTTCTTTGGTACTGAGGATTCAACTCAAGGGAGCTTTACCACTGAGCTACATTACAGATCTTTTTATTTTGAGACAGGATTTCACTATGTTGCTTAGGGTTTTGCTAAATTGCCCAGGCCAGCCCCCAACTGCAGTCCTCCTCCCTCAAGCTCTCCAGTCTCTGGCATTAAGGCACATGTGTCACTGTGCCTGGAGTAGATACTCATTTCTAACTTCTAGGCCTGATCTTGGTTTAGCTCAGTCTAGGGGAATGCTTTCTGCCAAGGAATTAAGGAAAGTATTGGGTTAATGAATAGACTCCTTGATCAGAGTCAATAAACTATAACCCACAGGCCAAATATGGCCTTCCTGAATGGTTTTTACATGTTTAAATGACTGAAAAAAATTTAAAGGGTAGACTTTGTGATACATGAAAATCATGAAACTCGGATTTTAGTCCCATAAATAAAGTGTTATTGGAACCCAGTAATGCTTATTTGCTAAGTTATTGTCTGTGGCTGCTCTGCACTACATCAGCAAAGTTCATGACATGGTTGTGACAAAGAACATATGTCCTGCAAAGCCTAAAATATATATTACCTTGTTCTTGCATAAGAGTTTACTAACTCCTACCTTAGGAAGGGGCTCTGTGCAGTGAGGGCAGAACAGGAATGATAGGCACATTCTGGAGTCCTAGCCCAGCCTGCTGTATTAGAACAAATGAATGCATGTTCTCAGCATTTGCATGTAATTTTCACTGCATTCTTCATTTCTTCTGCTTTTGCACTTTCAGGAAGGAGGGCTGTCCTGTGTATTATGAGCAAAGCAGTTTTAAGTTTCCTGCCTTCTATCAGGAAAGTGTCATCACCTGTGTCAGAGAGCAGTAAGTAATCTAGGACTTCTAGGGATAGGGATACAGTCCCTTCTGGATTATATTTCTTTACAAAGGAAAAAAATGTAGAAAGACATACTGTCAGATAGATGGAGCCTGCTGACCGAGAGCTCCTTCATGTTGACTTAACATTTCACCAATGGAGTGGAAGGTGTGTTAGCTAAACATGTGGTGACCTAAAGCTTCCTCTGCCTTTTCAGGAATTGGGGAGGCAGCTCTGAGACTGGGTAGCAAATCTTTGAGCTTAGTAGTTGAGTCATGAAACTGGGTGGCATGATTTTTCTCCTGCCAGCCTTCCTCAAGGAAGCTTGTTTTTCTTCCCTGCCTCTTAGACCTTAGTCTCTCAAAGATCACTGCTAACTTGGATCATTTTGTAAGAGTCTGGTGTCTATTCCTGCTTAGATGGATGCCCAACGCAGCATGTAATCAGGGCTATGGAGAGGCCTGGACAAATACCAGGACCATGAGCTTTAGATCTTGTTTTGGTATTTTTTGGTACCAGGAACTGAACTCAGGAATGCTAACCACTGAGCCACATCCCCAGTTCCCCCTTCCTTTTTTTTCCCTTATATATTTTATTTAGAGATGGGTCTCAGTAAGTTGCTTACGGCCTCACTAAGTTGCTGGGGCTGGCTTTGAACTTGTTGATCTTCCTGCCTCAGCCTCCCAAGCCACTGGGTTTACAGGCATGCACCACTGCACCCAGCTCTAGTTTTTTTTTTTTTTAATATACAAATATACATATATTTTAGTTGTAGATGGACACAATATATTTATTTTGTTTTATTTATTTTTGTGTGATGCTGAGGATTGAACCCAGGGCCTCACACATGTGAGGCAAGTGCTCTACAAATCCAGCCCTAGGTTTTTGTTTTTTTGAGATGAGGTCTCACTGTGTGACCCAGGCTATCCTGGAACTTCTTTGCTCAAATGATCCTTCTGCCTCAACCTCCCTAGGCATGTGCCACTGCACCCAGCTACCATCCATATTTTTGTTAGGATAAAACTCCTATGACAGCAATAACTAAGAAGAGTTATAATGCTTGGCTCTCATGATATATTTTTTTAAATATTTTTTTAATTGTAGATGAACACGATACCTTAATTTATTTATTTTTAAATGTGCTGAGGATTGAACCCAGGGTTTCACACATGCAAGGCGAGCGCTCTACCACTGAGCCACAACCCCAGCCCTCATGATGTCTTCACTATGTTTCTTCACTTGGTCTGACAACCTATGGTCAAGGGGAGATTATGGAGCTGTTGGCCTTGGAGACAGACAAATAGGGCTTTGAAACTCTCTGCCCACTCACTGGGTCCTGTGCTCATTACTACTTCTTTCTGAGCCTTGTTTCCTCATGTGTGTGAGAGGGGTGACTCTCCTCACGGGGTTGTCAGGAGGAGTAAAAGGGACGTGTGTAGATCTGGTGCTCTCAGTAAAGCTCAATAAATAGTTTTCTTATTGCTGTGCTTTTCTTTCAGATGAAAACAAGTCCTGCAAATGTTAAGTGTTTTGCTTAAGGTGCGCAGTTTGTAAGAATCAGAGGCCGTCCATCCCTCTGTCGTCAGCCTACTGCTGGGTCTAAAGGTGGTGAACCAGGGGTTGTCCCTCCTTGGGAGCTATTGGCTGTTTCTTCTCTCTGTTAGATGGTTTAGAGGGACGGACCTCAACTGAGGGAACTACAGTCTTGTCTTCTTGGTGCGAGTCCATGGGACAGGACGACAGCCTGGAAGTCTGGGCCCATGCTGGCCACGTTTGCTAGAAGCAGGGCAGGGCTGGTCCTGTGTCTTTGCCTGCTTTTTTGTTTGTTTGTTTGTTTGTTTTAGCACTGGGGGTGGAACCCAGGGCCTCACACACGCTAGGCAAGGGCTCTACCACTGAGCTGTTCACCATGTCTTCTGCTCGACTTTCAGGAGCCAACTTCTCAGAGGTGTTAATATTAACCAGTCCTGAATCCAAAGTTGGTTTCTGAGTTTATCAAGTACACACGGAAATCTCAAAATAAACCTCTTGCTTTCTAGACCATGAGTTCTTGGTTCCTCTTTTTTCCTCTGGACTTTCCCCAGTGGATGAGAAAGCAGAAGTCTCAGGCCTAAAAACAGCTGAGGGGTATCACTCAATTCAAGGAATGAAGTGTGAGGATTCAGGTGAAGGCTTGATCTTACCTCCCCTGTGGGCATTAGCCCCAAGGAGTTCGCCATCTGGGGAGGAAGAACTTCCCTTTCGTTTTCTTTTTGCGGTACTGAGAATTGATCTCAGGGGTACTCCACCACTGAGCTACATCCTAGCCTTTTTATTTTATTTTTGAGACATGGTCTTATTAATTTGCTTAGGCTAGTGTCAAACTTGAGATCTTCTTACATCAGCCTTCTGATTCAAGCATATCTGTCTTGAAATCTAATTTTTTTTTATCACAAACAGGATGCTCAAAATGTTCAAATATGCAAATACTTCAAAATTCAAAATCTCTGAAATCTGAAAATGCTTCTGCTTCCAGCCTGTAGTGTGTATACCCCTTTCAGGTCGTGCTGTTAGAATCAGGGCTTGGGCATTTGCAGCCTGGCCTGGATTTTGATTCCTGTTTCTTCTTGCCTGGATTGGTCCAGGTGAGGGGAGACTAATCCTAGGGTTCTGGACCAGGCCTTGTCATCCAGCTCAAGCTTGCTGCTCTGTACACTGCCAGTGCTGGGGTGGGGCCTCACTCATTCACTGTAACTAGACATGGAGTCCACTTTGCCTTTGAGCCCTTATGGGGGTGGTACCCAGGCTGATGATAGGGGAACTGAAGCAAAAAGTTTCCATACCATGGGCCAAGAGAGAGGTCAGTGTTATTTCTGCTAGTTGGTGTGTGAGATACACCTCAGCCAGCAGTGACATGTGATTTCTGCTTCTAGGAGTTCTTAATCAGAATGGCTTCAGGACAGTTTTACCTGTCCTGCCTTGTTCTGGGATCCCTGGGCTCAATGTGCATCCTCTTCACTGTCTATTGGATGCAGTACTGGCGTGGTGGCTTTGCCTGGGATGGCAGCGTACACATGTTCAGCTGGCACCCAGTGCTCATGGTGTCTGGCATGGTGGTACTCTATGGAGCTGGTGAGTAAGAGGTTGGTATGGGAGGTATGATGGAGCCCAGGCTGGACAGGTCAGCAGTTCCCCTCTCCCAAGGCTGGCCTTTGTCAGTGTTGGGTTTGGGGCTGCTGGGGTAGAGTGGGTTGGAGTGCCACTGGGTCCATTTAGGGGAGGAAATGGTAAGAGTAGGGCATCTCAGAAGAGCAGCTTTACAGATACACTGGGACAAGTGTCAGCAAACTTCTGTGAAGGGCCAGAAAGTAAATATTTCAGGCTTTGCCAGCCATTCATCTATATCACAACTACTTAGCTCTGCCATTGTATTGTATGAGTAGCCACAGAAAAAATAGAAACAACTCAGAAGCTTCCAGCTACACTAGAAGCTGAGGAGGAGGTTCATAAGTTCAAGGCCAGCCTAGCAACTTTGTCAGAGCCAGTCTTGAAATTTTAAAAAAGGAGTGGGGATATAACTGAGTGTTGGAGCACTTGCAGAACTTGTGTGAGGTCTTGCATTCAATCCCTAGTACTGCAAAAGAAAGAAAGAAAGAAAATACATAAGCAAACAAGCAGCATGGCTGTGAATCCAGTAAAACTTTATAAAAATAGGCAGCAGGTGGGAGTTGGCCTGTGAGCTATGGTGGCTGACTCCTGCTCTAAGGCTGATGCTCCCCCTGCATAGGCAGGCCCCCAGCTGAGGCACTTGCTTACTCTTCCAGGATGCGTCTTTGCCTCATTGAAATCTTTGCCTTATAAAATGGGAAGTGAGACTCATCCCCCCGCCCATGTGCACTTCATGTATCATCTGTTTTGTTTTTACTAGTTTGTGGGGTGGGGTCTGTTGTCTCCTTTTGATAAGTAAAGAAACAGAAAGGAGAGGCCCAACAGCCAAGAGGCAGAGCCTGGATTTTTTTCCCAGTGCTGGGGATGGAACTCAGGGCCTCATGCATGCCAAGTAGGTGCTCTTCCACTGAGTTCACCCCCAGCCCTTTGTATTTTCAAGACAGAGTCTTGCTAAGTTGTCCTGGCTGGCCTCAAACTTGTGATGCTCCTGAATCTCTGGGCTGACTGCTGTGTGCCACTGTACTTGTGGCCCCTTACTCTTTAACTGGCTCTTCTCTCCTCCCTTCATGGCTGCCCCACAAATGATGGGAAGTTGATAGATGCTGAAGAGTCGATGCCAGTATCCTAGCATTTCCTCCTCCCCTCGTTGGGAGGCTGGGTGGGATCACATCAGGGTGATTCCCCTGAAGTGTGGCTGAGCACAGGGGACTGAGGCTGAGCCCCAGGACTGCTCTCTCTCCTGCAGCATCGTTGGTGTACCGCCTGCCTCAGTCATGGGTTGGACCCAAGCTGCCCTGGAAACTCCTCCATGCGGCCCTGCACCTGATCGCCTTTATCCTCACTGTTGTGGGGCTGGTTGCTGTCTTTCAATTTCACAACCACTCAAATATCGCCCACCTCTACTCCCTGCACAGCTGGCTGGGTATCACCACCGTCATCCTCTTTGCCTGCCAGGTGGGTCATCACCATCCGCTTCCTTTGGGTTCTTTGGGGGTTATTAGCAGCAACTCCAGATAGTCCCTCTGCTCACTGCCTGGAGAGGGTCCTGCTGGGCACCCCCTGAAGACTTGGCAGACTACATGGCTGGGCGAGTTGGTGCCTCCTGCGCTTGCCCTGTTCCTTATAGCCATCATGCAGCCTGTGTGCTATCCCAGAGCCCTCTGGGCCAATTTTGTCATAGCATGTACCATGCTGACTCTGATCAGCCACCTCCTTTCTGCTTTGCCCACTCCTGTGTCTCTTTGAACCAGAAGCAACTGTAGAAGTGGTTTCTGTATTCCAATCAGTCCTGCACTAGAGAGGAGTTTATGAGCAAGGACTGGCAAGCAGCAGACAGTCGAGGATGACTGGGTTTGCTGGGAGAGCAGGACTGGAGCTGAGGGTTTCCTGTACCGTTTTTGCTGCTTGTGTAATAGAAACAGACAGCCCACATGAGCGGCAAAGGATGGTGGTGGGGCAATGCTGGTGGGAAAGAAGGGCCAAGCAACAGTGATGGGCAGGAAGTGCTCGTGGAGTGGGTGAGCTGGTGCATCTCGTCACACATGGTGTAGCCAGGGACTTCCTTCTTGTGTCCGCAGTGGTCCCTGGGCTTTGCCATCTTCCTCCTGCCCTGGGCATCCCTGTGGCTGCGCAGCCTCCTGAAACCGATCCACGTCTTCTTTGGAGCTGCCATCCTTTGTCTGTCTGTTGCATCTGTCATTTCCGGCATTAATGAGAAGCTTTTCTTCAGTTTGTGAGTGCTCTGGGGTCCCACCTCTTAAGACAGAGGGGAGGCAAGAGGGTTTTCAGAAAATGCACTGTATAATCAATCATAGAACCCCCCCACGGGGCTGGGCCTAGTCCCGATCTGGAAGATGAGAGAATTGGTATTTAAATTGAGACTGGTAAATTGGTCAACAAATATTTATGATCAGGTTGATTTAGTACCTATTCTGTGTCAGAAACTGTTCTAATTGCTTTACATCTAATCCTCTCAACTGCCCTATGACATTGGTGATGATGTCATGCCACCAATGAGAGCACTGAGGCACAAAGAAACTAAGTAACTTACTAAGAATGCACAGCCAATAAGTGGCAGAACTGGGATTCAGGGTTAGCAGTCTGACTCCAGAGCTTGCATGCGTAACCACTGCTGCCCACTCTTTTGAGGTGGGGGGCATAGTGAAAAGCAAATAAGAGGCTGAGAGGTAGCTCAGTGGTAGAGCACCTGCCTATAAGCACAGGGCCCTAGGTTCAATTCCCAGGACTGCAAAAAATAAATAAGTAAGTAAATAAATAAATAAAGTTGAGATCAGCCCTGGGTTTAGATCCTGGCTGTCTTATTTACTGGTTATGTAACTCTGGGTGAGTTAATTTCATCCCTTTGAGCTTCAATTTCCTGGTAAGTCAAAAGTATTATATAGAGTTTTGTTATTATAGCAGGGACTTAAAAAGTATGTTAAAATTCCAGGTCACAAGTGGTCCCGAGAAGCTTTTGTTTCCTCTTTTAGTAGCATCAAGTCTCCCCCTGGGCAAAACCAGGTGGAAAAGTCTCTCAAGGACCCACATTGTCTTGTCATCTTTAGGAAAAATGCCACCAAGCCATATGCCAGCCTGCCCAGCGAGGCTGTCTTTGCCAATTGCACTGGGCTGCTGGTGGTGGCCTTTGGGCTACTGGTTCTCTACGTCCTTCTGGCTTCATCCTGGAAACGCCCAGAACCAGGGATCCTGACTGACAGACAGGTATGGCTGCTTGTCCTCCATTCCAGGGTGAGGTGCGAATAGGGCCAGATGTAGAGAAGGACCAACCAGGAAGGACGTGGGCCTTGCTGTGAAGACGGGTCCACTAGTCTGGTGAGAAGCCATGTGGCTTGAAGGTGGAATTAGGGTGGTTGACAGGGACAGTGGTTTCAGAGCAGCATATCCCAGTAGTGTGGCTGTCCAGGCTCAGCACCTCTCAGAATTCCTCCCTCCACCCCAATTCCTGTAGCACTGAGAGATGAGGTATGCATGGCTTTACCTTCCCTAAGGAAGTTCCTGAGTATGATGAGGGTATATAGTAACTTCTGTGACAGTTTTGGGGCTAGGTTAGTGGGACTGGTGCTTGGTGACAAGTTGGGTGCTTGTAGCAAGTCTTGTCTGTTCTTGGGCTTCTGATGGTTGGAGGGTGTTAGGGTGTGGACCAGACTCAAGGACTTCGGGGCTTTCCTAAGAGATCTGGTGGCTTGGGCAGGGTCACCCTGCAACTTGGGGGTCTCTATGAGCAGCTCAGGCCTGCTGTGACTCCTGCAGGTCAGGGGCAGTCTTAACTCCTGTGCTCTGCCTTCTTTCCAGCCCTTGTTGCATGATGGGGAGTGAGCCGGGGTGTCCCAGGAACAGTCAGCAGTTGATCTGTCCTCGCTTCAGAAGCTCTGCTCCACCTGAGCTCCCGGCTGGTCTCAGCAACAGACTTTCTTTGGGACCTGGGTTCAAACTTCTCTTTGCCTTGGTGTCAGGCCTGCTGTCTCCAGCCACTTACTGCCCATTTGCTTTTCTTGGTGGCTTTGGCTTCTCGGCGTTGACTTCAGGGCCTGCGTTTGCACAAGCCCTCCTTACCCCAGCCACTCTTGCTGTGTCTGCAGAAGTCCAGCTGGTTTCCCCTTTAAACTGTTAGGGATGTGGCAGAAAATCCCAACAGTTTGGAAAAACTGGGACTCAACTGCAGCCCATAACGGGGGCCTTGAGGAAGGTCGGCTTTCCTGTTGAAGGCATGCATTTCAGTCAGGCCACCCACCAGAGAGCCGGCTTTATCTGCTGTCACCCATCCAGCCCTGGCCGGGTGTGCATCTGGTGGAGGGTGACCGAAGAAGGAGAGGATGGAGCAGCATCTGTGGAGAAGCCTGAGGGAGGGGGGTGTTGGTGCTCTGAGATAGTCTGTGTGGTATTTTGACCCTATGGCTCCACCTCTTCTAGCTGCTGCTCCAGCTGGGGCCTGGATCCCGCCCTTTTCCTGTGACTTACATGCCTGTCACCACCAGGCAGCCCCACGAGTCCTGGTAACCTGCTGTCCCAAGAACAGACTACCTGTCCCCCAGAATCCTAAGAGTGATGAGTAGCAGAGGTTTCCTGGCCCCCTTTTCCTCCCTTGCTGGCAGGCCCAGCCTGTTCTCCTGGCAGGGCCCCAGCCCAGCTGATCCTTCCCTCCAGCCCACCATGAAGCAGGCCAGCATGGCACAGCACTGTGCCCAGCAGAGCCATCGCCACCTTCGGAGGAGTTTCTTGCTAAATACCAGGTGCTCCTGCTCCACCGTGGCGCTTGCCCAGGTAGACCTAGCCTCCTGTGGCATGCTGCAGCCCAAGCTTTGCTCTTCTGAGGAGAAAGTGGGTGGAGAGGTGCTGGCATGTGGCTCTTCTTGCCTTCTCCAAGTAAGCCCTGCAGGTCCCAGGCTCCAGACTTCTGTGCTTAGTAGATAAGGATGAGGCTTGGGGTTTGCAGCCCTGTGCTCCCTGGCAGGTAGCCACCAGGTTGTTTACCCCAGTCTCCATTGTCAGATGTTGGCAGAAGGCTTGTGTCTGGACTTCCTGGTTGGATGAAAACTTCAGTGCTGCTGGGATGACTGCCAGGCTCCTGGGTCATGAGCAGTTCCCTGTCTCCATATGAGTGGGCATTTTACTTGTTTATTGAAGCTTGATTTCCATTAAATGTTTTTAAGAATCAAAGGTCATCATCGTCTGTTCAGGTTGCTTTAACAAATACCATGGATTGAATGGCTTCAGAAAACGTTATTAGGCTGGGTGTGGTGGCACATGCCTGTAATCCCAGTGGCTTGGGAGGCTGAGGCAGGAGGGTTGCGAGTTCAGAGCTAGCCTTAGCATCTTAGCGAGGCCCCAAGCAACTCAGCAAAACTCTGTTTCTAAATATAAAAAAGGGCTGAGGATTTGCCTCGGTGGTTCAGCTCCCCTGAGTTCAATCCCCAGTACCAAAACAAAAAACAACATGTGTTAGGCTGGAAGTCCAGGATGGAGGCATGAGAGCGGTGGTGTCTAGTGAGGCCCCTTCATCACAGAACTCTTCTCCCTGGAACCACAGGTAGAAGGAGTGGAAGGAGCTCTCAGGGCCTCTGGTAAATGAAGACACTACGCCCACTGATGAGGGCCCTACCCTCATGACCTGATTACCTTCCTAAGTCCCCACCTGGTGACCCCATCACCCTGGGGGTGAGGATTTCCACATGTGAATTTGGAGAAGACAAAACATATCAAAAGCTTTCTCTGCTGAAATGACACTGCTGTTAATGAGCACTGGGGCAACTTGTAACAACCGCTGGGGCTGGGGCTCACTGGTAGAGCACTTACCTGGCACGTGTGAGGCACTGGGTTCAATTCTTAGCACCACATATAAATAAATGAATAAAATAAAGATTAGAACAAAACCTCAGGACATGTCTGACCCTCACAGACCTAGGGACAGGCCAGCCACAAGGCACTAAAAATCCACATAATTGTGTGTCTTCCTGGAATTGCATGTGATTCATGTATGTGTGGATGTCCTAAATAGTGGCTTTTGGGCACTGGCTCATCTTATGATCACTTATGAGGAAGGAAATGTTTCCTGTTTTATAATCTAGAAAACAAGACTCAAAAAGGACAAATGATTGGCCTGAGGTCACCAGTCAGGAAATGGCAGAATTGGGATCCACAGTCTGCTGCCAGCCTTCTTCCTGCCTGCTGGGCACATACCTGTACATGCTGACACCAATCTATGGTCAGGTACCTGTGACATGGCTGGGCAGAGAAGCTCAAGAACCAGGAGTCAAGTTTGGGTGAAACAGGTGCTGGGGGTAAAGGGGCTCTTTTCCTAATGTGATCAGCTGTAGATGCCACATGGTAGTGGAATGGACGGGAGGGCAGGTGGCTGACACTAGTGATAACACTAACTCTCAGAGCGCGAGTGCTCAGTCTGCACTTGAATCACCTTGTTGGTTCGCTTGAATCCTTTCCAATCGCTGTAAGATGGGCGCTCTCTTCTGACTTTACAGATCACAGAGGCATAGACCTGAGTTCATGCAGTTGGTTGAAAGCAGAATCAGATTTCAAACCATGGATATTGGAGTCCATGGCCAAGTGCTTTCAGCCACTCTGTGCTGAGAACATACAGATGTGGCTGTGTGTGTGTGTGTGTGTGTGGTAGCCCTTGTCAGCGCCACTCAGCAGTCCCTCCTGCCAACTGGGGTCCGGGGACCATCAATGATTGTTCTAGAAAGAACCAGGGGCTGGCATGGCTACAACTTCTGATCTATAGCTGAGCTTTAGCTTTTTCTTCTGATGTCCCAAATGCCCATCCAATCCCTAAAGACTCACTAAACTGTTAATCTGGTTAAAAAAAAAAAAAGAAGAAGCCTTTATACCAGTCTTATGCACGTCAGTGTGCTCTGTGTGTGTGTGGGCAGGAGGATGGGAACAGAACCAGCCCGGCAGAGCAGAGCCTGTCTTGGGCACAGGTAGCGACGCAGGGTCTGGGAAGAGGGGGTCATGATCACAGCAACTGGGGCAGACAACCCTGGGAGAAGGCGGTGGCTTTATGGCTTCACCATGGTTTATTAGCTTTCTTTTCCACACTGACTTGGTTTCAGGTGCAGAGGCCTTTTACAGGGAGAGGTTCGGAATCTTAAAACCAAAGGCCATACTGTGGCTCAGGGGATGCTTTATCACTGAAGCTCGGCTGAGTGGGGAGAGCCCGGGGCTCCACCCTCCCTGAGGTGGGAAAGAGCAATGCTGGAGGGCTGGGGCCCACTCCAGCTCAGGAGCTGTCTGCGGTGGAGCAGTTTTTAGAGACCTGGTAGAGGACAGGCCCTGCGGTCAGAAAGGGGGAAGGTGACCACTGAAGGCAAAAAGAAGTGACGTCGAGCACTGCAGCACAGCAATGAGACAGGAGCGGAGGCGGAGGGAGGCCGTCACACACCCTGGTTCTGCAAGACCTCCAGGATGGCACGGAGGATGGCGGCAGCTGCCACTGCTCCTGGGTCTGGCTGATCCAGCCGCGCAGAGCTGATATAACTGGCTCTTCCGGCTCCAGCTTCCATGTTCTTGGTGGCCTCGGCTGCAGCTTCAGCACTCTGAGGGGGCATGGGAGTGGGCTTGAGGACAGGCTACCAGGCCTCTGCCCTGCAGCCTGACCCAGCGCCCTCTGCCCTATCACTGAGTGGAGAGGTCACCTTTCACTTCCTTCTAATAGAGAGGGAAAGGCACACCATTTACTGCAGCCCTGCTGTGTCCCAGGTGGGGTGTGGGCTCAAGATCTCATTAGATCACAATCGCCTTCTGAGACAGAGACTCATCCCCATTTTACAAAGGAGGAAACAGAGGCACAGGAAGGTGACTAACTTGCTTGAGGTCGCATGGAGACCCATGCCTGTCTCCCTGGGTGGACAGCCTGGCCTAACTCACCTTGACAGCTTTGGTCAGGACTTGTAAGAGATCAGCCCCTGGCTTCTTCCAGGCTTGGAGCTCCTGTCCTGCTGCCCACAGAGAGTCCAGCTGGAGAAGGTGAGGAGAGAGGGGCTGAGAGGGGCCTTCCCACTGAGGATGGCCTACAGGGCTTGTAGGCTCAAAGGCGGGAAGGAGAGTAGGGGGCACTACCCAGTACACACCATAGTCCTGTCCCCTGGCGCCGCCTTCCCATACCTGGCAGGAAAAGAGAATGAACAAGGTCTGCTGTAGGCAGTCACTTTGGAGTGGGGACAAGGTCTGGTGATAGGAGCAGGTGAAATCCATCAACTACCTCCCCCAGAACACCCTGGGCTCTAAGGGACAGGGCTCTGGCTCACTTCTGCATGGCCTCTAGGCCGGCGTCCATGGCAAGAGACCAGGCTGGGAGGTCAGTGTTGGCCTTGAGAGGCTGGGCAGCCGCAGTCAGAAACAGGCCATAGAGCTGGGGAGGATGCAAAGGCTAAGCCTGTGGAGCTGGCCTAGGGCCTGGCCAAACTGGCATCCTGCCCGTCAGCCCTCTGCTCCTGAGGTCGCCGACACTCACCGCCCCAGAGGAGCCTCCCATCTTTTCCAGCAACAGGACGGACAATTTGGAGAGCACCTGTGCAGGACTGGCAGGAGGTGGGCCCTCCTTCAGCCACCCCTGGATGGCTGCAGAAAGAAAGTGCTGATGAGGGATTCAGCGTGCCCCGATTTGCTCTCTCCCTGGCCTGTCGTGCTGACAGCCTACATGTTTTATTGATTGGTCTTATTTACTGAGAGTCATCCAGTAATCACCTTCTTTTTCTTTTCTTTTGTTTTCGGTACTAGGGATTGAACCAGGAGTGCTTTACTACTGATATCCCTGCCCTTTTTTATTTTTTATTTTGAGACAGGGTCTTGCTAAGTGGCTTAGGGCCTTGCTAAGTTGCTGAAGCTGGCCTCAAACTTTCGATCCTTTGGCCTCAGCTTCCTGAGTCTCTGGGACTGTAGGTATGCACCACCATATGCAAGAGCATGCAAGAGTGGTGACTTCTGTGTGCTTCATTCACTCTTTTTTTTAATATTTATTTTTTAGTTGTAGTTGGACACAATACCTTTATTTCATTTATTTATTTTTATCTGGTGCTGAGGATCGAACCCAGGGCCCCGTGCATGCTAGGCAAGCGCTCTATCGCTGAGCCACAATCCCAGCCCCTTCATTCACTCTTTTAATCACAGACACATGAGCATGGCCCACAGGAAGCACTGAATACATTTTTCTCGAATGAGTGGTGCTGGACCATTAAAAGATTTCACTGGTGTAGGCAAACTGAGAAGAGTCTGGCTTGAATCTGTTTTTGTTCAGTGTAAGGATTCCATTTTCTTGTGAGACAACAACCTCCCACATTGGTAGTTCCTCCCTCCCTCCCTCTCTCCCTTCCTTCCTTCCTTCCCACCAGGCAAGTGCTCTACCACTGAGCTACACCCCCAGGCCAAAGTACCTTTTCTTGAGGAAAATAGGTGAGAGGGGTGCTGGGGTTCCACAAGTGACCTTATTTGGCAAAGGAAAAAGTGGCAACCCAACAACTCTCCAAATATTTTGGAAGCTACTCTGTTTCATAAAATGCCCAAATCTAAGAACCAGTGTGCCATACCATCCCATCGTGACCCAGAGGGCTCTGGCACCAACCTCGAGCAGCACCGCTGTGGGTGGTGCCACAGTCCCCATCACCAGCAGCCCTATCCAGGGCATTCAGGTGTTCCTCCAGGCCCAGGAGGGTGGTGCACACCCGCTCCAGCACAAGTACCATCTGCTTAGAGGCTACACCTGGAAAAGGAGGACAGTGGGGCAGAGGACCACCTGGCCCTTCTCAGGACCAATCCTGTCATATGTGGGAGGGATGGGTGCCAGGACTCCTGCACAGCTCACAGCACACTCCTGCACCCTCCAGGGCCCAAGTCAAAGCCCTGTGCCACCAATGATGCCTGCTCCTTCCCCAGCAGCAGGGTTTGGTACCTCCTGCAGTGGCGGAATCATGGGTCTCCTTGGGCTCCATGGGGGCTGCCCGGCTCCGCTTCCGCTCAGTCACAGACATCTTGGCCACATTAGGCCAGGCTGCAGCAGTGGTTTCAGCATCTAGGGACAGCAGGACAACTCAGGCATAACTGGCCAGCGAGAGATCAAGCAGAGTCTGGGCTCCCACCCAAACCTGGGGCCTGGCTCCCTCAGCAGCCTGGAAGACAAGGACATGCTGAGAGGCTACTGTGGGGGGTGCACAGAGGGTCCCTGGGGAAAACTCAGGCGGATCTGGGGAGAGTCCTAGTACACTTCTTCCAGAGTCAAGTGCGAGAGGAGAGGCTGGAGAAGCCAGGGGTGCCTTCACAGGTCCAGAGCTCTGCCACAGTCAGCCTAACGGGCCTCTGCAAGTCCCGCTGGCTCCTTCCAGTGACAAGAAGCCCTGGCTTGAATCAGCCCAGAGTTCAGCTCTCACCTATCAGTTTCAGGAGGGGCTCATCCACCAGCAGGAGGGTGAGGGAAATGCCAGGCATCTCCAGTGCTGACATGAAGGTGCCCACCAGGGCGCGGGTGATCTTCACCCCACGGCCCTCTGCAAGACAGAGCAAGGAAGTCCATGAGGAACAGGCCCTCATCCCAGACTTCCTCCTCAGGGCACCAGGGAAAGAAAGAGAATAACAGAAAATCAGAACCTTGGAAGCTGGAGCCCTGAAGTCAGTAGGGAGATGGCCTGATTTTCTTAGGGTGTCTCTCAATAACATCCAAATTAACCACATTCTCTCGAGGTGTCCCCTCTTTGGGAGTAGTTGGGTACTTGCAGGTCTCATTTACTGATTTCCAGGTATTGTGCTGTCTTACGTAGGCTTAATTTCATTTAAACTTACAGCCACCTTACAAGGCAGGTACTACTCCTCAATTTATGGAAAAGAAACAGGTGCAAGGCCCTCAGTTATTAAGTGGCAGTGACACTTTCACTCAAGCTCGTGTGACTGCACAGTCCATGTTTTGAGCCATCTCAATATCTTACCTCAGTTGCTTTTCTTTTCTTTGGTACCAGGGATTGAACCCAAGGGTGCTTAACCACATCCCCAGCCCTTTTTATATTTTACTAGAGTTGCTTAGGGCCTTGTTAAGTTGTTGAGGCTGGGTGTGAACTCAAGATCCTCCTGTCTCAGCCTCCTGAGCTGCTGGGATTACAGGTGTGTGCCGCCACATCCGGCTCAGATGCTCTTCTTATGTCCAGCGTGGGCTGGGGTGGGTCCCCTTCCCAGTGTGGACTTACCCAGAGAACGGACGACAGCATCAGCCATGATGCCCAGTTCCAGGAACGAGAGACCACCCAGGTTGTTGACCATCAGAACCACAGAGGAGCCTGTGGGTGGATGTGTGAAGTAAGTCCTTTGGGTACCACTTGCCCAGAGGTCTAGGAAGGACAGACAGAGAATGACAGGCTCCTCACCTGGCTGCACAGATACATGGGACACATTGGAGGCATTCGTCATGTGGTCGAGCATGAGTGTGACAATCTCATCGGCAGTTGCCATCTGTCAGAGAGAGCCAGGAATGAGCTGTGTCTGGATGGCCTTAGCCTTGTGCTGGCCTGGGCCAGGGAGTCCACCTACCTTTACCCGGCGCACGCCAGCTTCCCCATGGATCCCTGCAGAGAGATGTGGTCACTGCCAACCTGCTCAGGGCCTGGGGATTCACTTGTCAGGTTTTATCAAGAACTTACTAAGTGCTCAGCAAAAGGCTAGGCACTGGGAGTGCAGAAATGGACAGAATAACGGGGACGGAAATGGACAGAACAATGAAAGACACACAGTTTCTGCTCTGGGGGAGCTACAACATGGTGGTGGAGGTAGCCAGGGACCCAAGTGGCTCTAACTGAAGGCAGTCATCAGTCATGCCAAGACCTCAGGAGGCTGACACCCATCACTTTGGACACCTGGGATGACGAGGGAAAGCGTCACAGCTGCAGCCTGGTGTCCCTGGCAGAAGGGCTGCATTTGAGCAAGGGCAGGACTGGGAATGGTGTGAGGAAAGGCAAGTGGGTGAGGCACAGAGTCGTGGCTGGATCCTGGGGTGGATGGCGAGCAGGAAGAAATCAGGCAGGCCAGGCCAGGCTGGGCCTCAAGTGCCCACTTATGAATACTGAGACCACCTAGGGGACAGCTCTAGGAGAGTAGAGAGGACTAGGAGGATGGCTCAGGGCTTGAGTGGGCAAAATCCAAGGCAGAGGAGCAGGCAGGGTTGGGAGTGGGGTGGCCACAGACTTACCTAGGCCCAGCTCCAACTCATCGGCCGCAAGCTCGAAGGTGGGTTTAGAGCCAGGGACACTGCAGGAGGACAGACTCACCCCCAAGGTACCTAGGAGAATGAGACACAGAGGGATGGCTGTTCTGCTCTCAGTCCTGGGCATCAGGATGGGCAGCGACAATGCCACAGAAGCCCTTGCTGGGGCGTCCTCTTCTCTGTCATATCTCAGTAATGACAGAAAACCTAGCTCTTGTACCCAAGGCCACCAGGCCCTTCCGTCCATTCCTAGGGAATAAATGGAAAACCCTCCATGCAGCTAACAGGAACTTTCTTATGTCCCCAGGAGTGTCCCTGGCCCACCCCATCCCTGGGTTCATACTCACCCATGCTTTTGGTGACCTCGCTCACCCGCTTTGCAATCTCCTCCAGCCCCACACCTGCCTCAGCCAGGGCACCTGCCACCTGCAGTCACACAGGTCCCCAGGGGGGCAGTCACTATACTACTTGAGGGTAGACAATGGGCTGGGGGACAGAATTCTTGTTGGGGAGAAGGAATCCGAGGATTTCCACAGTCACCTGGCCTATCACATTCAGGGCAGAGTGTCCTCCCCCACTCAATGTATTTGCCCAGAATCTTGAAGAATTCCAGTCTGTGGGAGCCAGGAGGAACTTTACCCAGAGAGACAGAGGTGACTTGTCCAATGGCACCAGTTGGTGACCAGTTTCCTAACTTAGAGTTTTCTCCCACAGAATATTATCTACACACCCACCCATCCACATACTCACCCACCCAATTTTGCTATCTGTTATGTGTGAGGGAAAAAAAAAAAAAAAAGAGGAGTGAGCCACAGTCGCTGCCTTCAGGAAACTCTGCCTGGAGACGGGTAGGGAAGAAGGTGGCAGCGTCACAGGAGCACTGAGCGGCTCCTAGCCAGCAGGGGCTCTGCAGCCAGCAGGGATAGCTTCCCAGGCGGGGGACCTCAGAGCTGAGGCTAGAGACAGCAGGGTTGGCAAAGCCACAGGAGGCTGGCCAGGAAAGGAGCCGCCAGGCCATAAATACAGTGCGAGCAAAGCCTCAGAGGTGAGCCTGGCCCAGCAGGCACAGAGCCTGGGGCTACCAGAGCATGGAGGAAGGCAGGGAGGCTGGGAGGTGAAGCCAGGGGTGAGGGTCAGGGAAGAAGGGCAGGAGTGTGGTGGGCATCTGACCAGGAGCTTGGGCTGACTCTGGTAACCCAAGATGTTTTCAGTGAGCAAATACTGGTCAGATAGCATTTTTTTTGGTGGGGGTGATATTGGGGATTAAACCCAGAGTGCTTTAGTACTGAGTTATTTCCTCAGCCGTTTAATGACATTTTTAGACAGAGTCTTGCTAAGCTGCCTAAGTGGCCTCAAACTTGTGGTCCTCCTGCCTTGTCTCCCCAGTCGCTGGGATTACAGGTGTGCACCACTGCACCTGGTTTGATACACATTTTTGAAAGACACCTCTGACGGTAGTGTGGAGAGCCAACTGGCAAGGCAGGAAGCAGGGGGAGCCTGGTGAGGTGGGCAAGTCAGATGAGCCCTGAACCAAGGCAACGCAGGAAGGCGGGGGGGAGAAGGTGCTAACACAGGCTGTGGGGAGGCGCCAGATCAGGGCCACCGCCTGGCTGCAGGGGCGGGAAGCGAGGGGGATGGGCAGTGCCTGCACTCTGGACTTAGGTGCTGAGGGATGGTGGGCCTTCCTGGGTCAGCGAGGAGTGAATGGAAAGGTCTAGTTACCATGTGCTGCCCAAAGGGACAGTGGCCAGTCTCAGTGCCCTGGGTGGGCGCTCACCTTGTGGATAAGCACTGTGCCACAGAGGCCTCTCCGGCCTGCCTTCTTCAGGACAGTGAAGGCACTGTCATCCCCGATGACCACCATTTCCACAGGGATGCCTTCTGCTCGGGCGCGTTCCCGGGCCAGGCCAAAGTTGAGCCGATCCCCAGTGTAGTTCTTCACGATGAGGAGGGTCCCCGCTGCAGGAGCAGCCAGCAGAGCCCTCTCAGTGCCGACCCTCATCCCACCCTCAGGGTGTTCTCCCCCTCCGCACCCCTTCCCACACACCAGCCTCACCTGTGCCCGCCTGGGCCACAGCCCTGATGGCCGCCAGGATGCTGCCCACGGCTGGGGAAGCGAACACGGCTCCTGCGATGACTCCCGTCAGCATCCCCTTCCCAATGAAACCTGGAGACCAGGAGGTGTGGAGTGAAGATGCTGGGTGGGGACTGTGCCTGCCGTCACTGTCCCCGGGGCTTCCCACATGCCTAAGAGCTATGGTTGGTGAGCCCTACTGTGTGCTTGTGCTGAAAGATCCCCAGATCTTCACATGGCTGACACCTTCTCAGGGGTCATCTTGGAGAGGCCTTTCCTGACCTCTCACCCCAAGGCAGTCACTCCCTCTAGAGGCTCACTGGTCCTCACGCCGTCCTGTGGTCTTTCTATGTCCCTTTGCACTCTCTGTGTTTACAGGCCACTGTCTGCCCTAAGTGGGATCTAAGCTCCATGGAAGCAGGGACCATGTCTGTCTGGCTCACTGGGGTACCCCTGGTGTCAAGAACAAGGCCAGGCACACAGCGGGCCCACTGATGTTTGCTGAGTGAATGAACAGATTTGCTGAAGAGAGACAGGAAAGGTACCCAAAGCCTGGGCAACTGCTTCCAAGAGCTCTCAAGGAGGGCTCATGTTCCTGGCTCCAAACAGAAGAAAACCCAGGTTTGTCCCTGTGTGGGAAACCACAAAGTGGGGTGCAGAAGACGGGTCCTGCTCTGGCTAGACAGTCAGGAAGGCTTTCTGCAGGAGGATGGGCCAGCTGGGCCTGGAAGGCCAGGGAAGTTCACAGAAGCACTCACCTCAGGGCTACAAGAGCCCAGGGGTTCACCTGCCCAAGCTCGTGCTCCCGAGATATAGAAATCAAGGTGCAGAGAGAGGCTATGGCTGGCCCAGGTCTGAGCCTGAGGGAGGTAAGTGGGAACCAACCCCTGTTCCGTACCTGGCCTGTACCTCATACCAGCACCGAGTCCTCAAACCCAGCATACTCACCAGCATGGGCAGGCTCGTGGCCAGAGCCCCCACCTGACAGCAGTGCCACTCGGCCCTTGAGGCTGTCCAGGTCAGAACGGAGGGCAACACGGTGGCCCTGCAGGAGCTGCAAGTTGGGGTTGCATGCCACTAGGCCAGCCAGGGCATCATCAGCACAGCCTGCCACCGAGTTCACCAGTTTCTTAGAGGACTGGGAGAGAGGAGGAGGAGGGGGTTCAGGATGTGGTCAGCAGGGATACCTGCAGTCTTCCCAGGCACTGGGCTACACCAGAGATCTGCTCCTGTTTGCCCAGGAGCTCCAGGGTGACCACAGGACTATCTTGAGTTGGGCCACATTTGACCTGGTAGATGTTAGTCTCCGACTTCCCTTTTTAATTTGTGACTTTTATTCAGTGCCAAGTTCATTCACTTTTTGCACCATGGCTTCAATATAAAGAAAATGGGGGAGATGAATCCTCAGTATAAAAAACTGAAGAAATTGGGGCCCGACACCTACTTTAGTCAAAGGAGATGCCTTGGGCTGAGGCTCCTGAGGGGAAGGGCCCAGGCAGGCACCACACCTACCCAATGCTCTAATGCAGGCCCGTTGGCCTGGGCTCTTGGTGGGCCAGGCCCAGTGCTGGGCACTGTGTGTAAGGAAAGCAGAGTGCTGTTCCCACCTCAGTAAAAACAGAGACCATCTCCACAGGCTGCACCAGGGGAAGGCACATATGCCTCGGGAGCATAGGAGAGGACCTCGGCTCCTGAGGACAAACTGGAAGTCTCTGTGAAGGGTAAGGAGGAGACAGGCAGGCAAAAGGGAGTGGGTCCTGGGGGAGGGAGGAGGCGGAGGGCAACCAGCCACAGCCTGGGGGTGTGAAATAGTATGGTGGCTCCAGGAGACAACTTAGATCATCCTAAGCAACCAGGGGCCTGCAAGAGAGGTGTGCAGGGCCCCCACAGTAGCTGCTTGGTCATGGGCAGCGTTAGGAGGCAGGCTGTGGGCAGGTGGAGCTCAGGAGCTGATGGCGGGGTACAGGGAGAGGTGAGTAGTGTGGGGCTACAGTGGTTGGAACCTGGGCTCGGCAGACATGTGAGAACTCCGTGAAGATACATTCTTGTTCTAAGTCTTCACTGAGCCACATCCCCAGGTCCTTTTACTTATTTTGAGGCAGGGTCTCACTAAGTTGCTTAGGGCCTTGCTAAGTTGATGAGGCTGGCCTCAAACTTGCAATCCTCCTGCCGCAGCCTTTGAGTTGCTGGGATTACAGGTGTATACCACTATGCTGGGCCAGAGCTCAAGTCTTTCTCTTCAAAACAGAGACTTAATAGACTTCAGCAGAAGCTCAATAAAAAGCAGCTATGCCCCAAACAGGCTCTGAAAGCAGGAGCCCGCTGGGCTAGGGCTGTGGACCCGGGATGAAGCTCCTGCCTTTGTCCTCAAGAGACTGGGAAAGGTGGCCTAGTGTGGGCCCAGAGAGGCTCTCAGCGCCACCTTGTGGGTCCAGGGACAGCCTGCAGCTGATTTAGGTCCTAAGGAGCCACGTTTCCGGCCTCAGCTCCTTCTGAGGCTGCCAGCACAGGTTGTTTTCCTGCCCACAAGTCTTTTCCTGGGTCCAATAAGGACCAGGTCCACGATGGCTGCTTAAAGATGAGGTCAGTAGAGAGCAAGCAGAATAAGAATCTCGCTGCATCTCCCGGGCAGGAGCTGAGCCAGGCCTGTTTCTAAGTGCTTCTGAACATTTCCCTGTTAATTTTCCCAATAACCCTGTGGAGGACGGATTAGCCCAAGGAGGAAATTGAGACACAGTTAAAAGACTTTGCCCAAAAGTTACACAACAAGCAAGTGTCCAGGTCTTCCTGGCTCCAAAGCTGGTTCCCTTTTGGCTGCTTTCTCAAGTGACTGAAGGGAGGTGCAGGATGACAGGTCTTGCCCTAGAAAGGGCATGGATATGTGGCTCTTAGAGCTTACTAGGGTCTGGGACATACAGTAAAGTTGGAAGCTGGGTCAATTCCAAGCTCAGCTTCCAACACCACTACCCTCCAAGAATCTGTCTCAACCACCCCTCTATCAGAGCCAGAGAAGGGCTTAAGGACCAGTGCCATCTCTGGTTCCCAGAGACCTAAGGGGATGAAAAGGGAAAGGAGATCAGGCATTATGCAAGAACAAGAGAACTCTGGTCTGATCAACACCTCACAGACAGTTGGTAGTAGGCTTTAATCTGCTGTTCTGCAGATGAAGACAAAGAGGCTCAGAGAGGTCAAGATTTCTGTAGAAGGCCATACAGCTGGTGGATGGCAGGCTAAAATCTAAACTCAGATCTGTTTAATGTTTGCTTAGGTTCAGATGAGTTTTAGAGTGGGCTCGGAGCAAAGGCCCAGAGCTTCCCAGATCATAAACCCCAGCTGTGAGACCAGACCACATGTGGTTCAGGAACAGGCACAAGGTCATACTTCCTGATTCCTTTTGTGACTAGTACAGCAACTATTACAGAGCAAATAACTGTTAATGTTCTAAATGTATAACCCAGGCCCAGACAGTGAGGTTTCAGAGGGGCTTAGAGGTAAGCCTCATGACTGGCTAGGACCAGTGGCCTGATCAAAGGGAGGGAAGCAGAGACAGGCCCTGAAAGAGGATGAGCCTCTCTTTTAACCTTCTAAATTCAGGAGGCAATGGTATTTCTTCTATCAGGGCATAAGGAATTCCAGGATGCTCAGGACAGGGATGCCCTACTGCTTCAAGATCACCATGTTCTCTCCTGCCCTGGCCTCCCACCCCCAGGACTCACCATGGTGGGGAGGCTCTGAAGCAACCTGCGTCCACACTTCTGCACTGAGCTGCTGTAGGATGGATAATCCTATGGGTGTCACCACGGTCTGAGCACAGTGGAGGTGAAAGCAGCACCTATGGGGACAGGCTGCTGAGTTGAATGGCACAACCACTCCTCAAGTGCCTCAGGAATTAGGGAGCTGCCTTAGACTTTGATCCAAGTCCAAACTCTAGTTCGTGAGCTCCGGATGGAGAACGGATGGAGAACAGCCTGGGGCTGACCAAGGTTCACACTTATGCTTGGCTGCCAAGAGATAGATCGATCTGCATTGGGCACGGTGCTGCCTTTATGTCCAGGAGCAGTGCGCCCACCTCCTAATCAAGGAGCAAAGTTACCCACAGAGTAACTTCATCACTTACATGGGCATGGCTTATGGTGAAAAAATTACAAAGGTCTTCACACACTCACTCTTGTTTGCCTGGGCACTACACCAGGAGGGAGCCAACTGTGTGACCCCATTTTGTTTCTGGGAAACAGAGCTCTATCTAGTTCCTTGTCCAAGTGTACTGGTGTTTGAGTCAGGCTCAAACGCACGTCTACAGTCTTTTTGTAAAGCCTGTGTTGCTTCTACTGATAATTCAGTGCTCCATGTCAGGTGAGTCCTGCTGTAGGAAACCCCATGTGTAAATCACATACCTCAGCTCATCCTGGTCCTGCTGTGTCTTGGGGTCATCCAGGTTCACTGTGCACACATGCACTGAGAACAACCCAGACCTGGTTCTGCACCTACATCTGCCTCAACTTACTGCGGGGGGGAGGAGGGTGTCTTAAAACCATTTTCTCTCTAAGCCTCAGCTTCCTTATCTTGGAAACATGTTAGCTCCTCTCTGGCATTCTGCATGTGCTGCAAGCCACAGCTCCTCCTGCTCTTTGGGGAGCCTGCCTGTCTGATGTGGCCTGGCCTGAAGGCTGCAAGACTGACAGCCATGCCCTCCTGGGTCATTAAGGTTCTCACCGGTGAAGTTCCGGTTTGGTGTCTGAGGTCAGAATTCGTACAACTGGGGTGGGAGGGGACTCTAATAATGCTGGGCAAGTGTCTTAGTGGGCCCTTCAGAGTGTGAAGAATAAAATACACAGGTGAGCGTCCTGGTGGGTCCCAGGTGAGGCGGGGTAGGTGTCCTAAGGCCAGGTGGGGACTTCAGCTGGATTCAAGAAAACAGAGTTAAGGGGGCGGGGGAAGCACGGTTCTACTCAGGATCCCTGTGCCTTCCCTCCCTTCTCAGGGCCTTTGCATTCCTTCCGGCTCCAAAAGGGGTTCAGCCCCGAGGGCTTTTGGAGCAATGAATGGAGAAAGAGGACGGAGTCTGCGAAAGGACGAGGGTTGAGGATTGCGGCCAGGGGTCGGCGGGCGAGCTCTGAGGACACAGGGTACAATGGAGCACCTTTCCAGCCCCCTCACCCCAGTCTTGGGCAGCTCCGCAGCAGGTGGGCTTCGCTACGGCCCCCAACGCTTCGCCCTCATCCGGGCACTGCGAGCTCCGGCGGTAAGGGACGGGGCGGAGACCCGGGGGGTGGAGCTTCCCTTGGTTGGCTGCCTTGGGCTGCCTGAGTCCTCCAAGAGGCCAGGTGAGGCCGTCCCGTGATGCCCCGCGCCCCGGCCGCTCTGGGCTGCAACGTGTTTCTGGGGCGGAGGCAGCGGCAGTAGAGTTGGCTGCGCGCGGGTGGGGGCTCCCTGTCTCTTCGCTCGTGTCCATCTCTCTATCGTCGCCCTCGGCTCCCGACGGGCCGGTCCAGGCCTCGACATGTCGTACAACTACGTGGTAACGGCACAGAAGCCCACCGCCGTGAACGGCTGCGTGACCGGTGAGACTGCCAGAGCCGGAGACCCTGGCGAGGGAGGGAGCTGGTGGGAACCGAGGCCTAGGGAGGCTCGCGGCCCCGGGGGCGGCCGGGCAGGACCGGGCCGGGGAATGGAAGGCGCCGGCGGCGGAGGAACGTCCCCAGCCCCGAGCTCAAAGGCGCGGTTCCAACACGCGCCTTTGGGGCAATAGAACCTGCTCTTGAGGGTCCCCTTTCGTCCTGGGAGGTCACTTGGCCTCGAGAACACGGCCGGGTCCAGTGGGACCGAGAGCCAAATGTGAGTTGGTTGTGCAGCGTTGCTTGAACCTCGAGATTGGCCTCTTGTGGTCGGGGGAAGGGGTGGTGGTGATGGCGCCTTTGGGATCAGAATTTTCACGTGGGGAGTCTGGGGGGCCCCGGGAGGTGGAGGAATGTGAGCTATGTCCGCACTCACCCAAAGAGGAAGAGTAGCCCTCTCCAGACCCACCCTTTCGCCTGGGGCTGTTGTTTACTTGAGGGCGCTGCTGGAGAAGAGGTTTTGGTTGGCCCAGCCCCGGGCTGGATTTGCCTTGTTGACTGTGTGCTAGGATCGTAAAGGACACTGAGGTGTAGAACCAAAGAATATTCATCTTGAACTCACTTTCTCGGCTGAATGTGCAGACCTCGAACTTGTGCGTTTATGTAAATTGCTAATAATGATTCTAGAAAAAAACGTCCGTTGTTTAGATGGCTAAAAGTGGTATTGGTAGATTGCTGGGAGGGCAAGAGGCATAGAGAAAATACAGAAAGCTCTGGGAATTTTCTTCATTTGACTCCGTCTGTTTGGCAAAAGTTGGGCGAGGCTTTAGATGACTAGAAGAGACAAACACTTTCTCCAGCATCTTCATTTAGAGTCTATTTTACTATACCTTTGTATAGTAAAATTCAACAGTCATCTGAAGGGTGTTCAGTCACTGTCCATTGAAGGACACTCTGCTCTTTGGCCTCCAGTTCACTTTTCTTAGTCTGATTAGGGAAGCAGCTTTGTTGAATGCGTGAAGTGAGACTCCTGGGGGTGCTGGATTTAGCAAGAAGAGGAGTAAACAGAAGGAGTCAGAGAAATACATGAAGTAAATGCAAGTTCTGGGGGTATTTAGTTGTACATGTGATAAGATTATTTAGAGGGCTTGGGAGGCCCTTCCTTCAGCTTCAAAAGTTAGAGGACCTGTTCTTTCAGGACACTTTACTTCAGCCGAAGACTTGAACTTGTTGATTGCCAAAAACACGAGATTAGAGATCTATGTGGTCACTGCAGAGGGGCTTCGGCCAGTCAAGGAGGTGGGCATGTATGGGAAGATTGCAGTCATGGAGCTTTTCAGGCCCAAGGTAAGTGTTTCCAGTTGTGATGAGCAATAAAAGGAAAACTGTTGGTCTTAGGTTGTTTTCTTTTTGTTGTTGTTTGTTTGTTTATTTAATATTTTTGTTTATGGACCTTTATGTATGTATGTATGTATGTATGTATTTTTATGTGGTGCTGAGGATTGAACCCTGTGCCTAACACATGCTAGGCAAGTGTTCTACCACTGAGCCACAACCCCAGCCCGAGCCTTGGGTTGTTTTGACAGCAGATTTCAGGGTATACTTTTCCTAACAAACTTCCTGGAAGTAGGGGAGATTCATTAGGGAAACGTTTATTAAGTTGACTTCTTCAGGAAGGAGAAATTAAAGCAGTTTGAAATATGGGTCACCATAGTGCTTAGTGCTTCAGAGGGTAGGATATATCGAGTGGAACAGTCCTAGCTTCATTCGTGTTCTCACTTTAGGTGTCACTTTAGTTATCACTTGAGACACCCTTCAGAGCCTTGATTTCCCCATCTACAAAGTGGGGATAACAGTAATCAATCCCTTGGGTTGTGAAGATTAAATGATTCAGTAACACAGGGTGTTAGCACATAAGAAGCATTCACCATCATGTTAACAACTCTCATAATCATTGTTATTATAATTCAAATATTTTTATCTAGATAACCACCATTGTTTCATTATATCTTAACTGAATCTGACAAGAAAACTGTGGGTTCAGCATTTCAATTATAACTCTTTGAACAAAGCACTTATGTTTTTAAAGTTTGTGTTAAGATTTTGCAGATTCATTTTTGCTTTCATTGTTATCACCACGTTTTTTTCTCCAAATATTTGGAAAGGAATGGGGAGGAATTACATTCTTCTTTCAGAATTTGAATGGAATGATTGAGATTAGCCTGAGTGCAAAATAGATGAAAACAGTGTATATAGAGCAGATATGGCGAATCATGAAAACAAGGACTAGATGTTTACCAGATCAGTTCTGGCCTTTTGTACATACCCTTAGGGCTTGGGTGTACATAGTGTATGTTACAAACTCACCATGTATTTTCTCTTTAGGGAGAGAAGAATTTGGGAAGTTCTTAAAGAGCTTAGCATGCTTAAAGAATGATGCTTAAAGGCTGGACAGGTTGTTCCTGTTTTTGAAAGACCTCTTTTGATGGCATAATGTTGGTTTCCAGGGGGAGAGCAAGGACCTGCTGTTTATCTTGACCGCTAAATACAATGCCTGCATCCTGGAGTATAAGCAGAGCGGCGAGAGCATTGATATCATTACGCGAGCCCATGGCAACGTCCAGGTGAGGTGGCTGCTTCAGGCTGATGAGAGAGTTTTTCAGGTAGGGCTGTCATGATTCAGTGAAGAACACTGAAGTGCAGGGTAGCCCTCTATGTGATCAAAGAAACAAGGAAAAAACACTTAAAGTTTTGAGCTATTTTGAGAGTCCAAGGCACAGGGAATAATGTATTGAGATTCAGTGTTAAACCAGAAAGCTACGTACTAGTATTTGGGCTCCTTGGCATGTCAGGGATGTTACTCATTTTCCTGCCTCTCTCAAATCATCCTGGGAAGGACAGGTTTTTTGGCCTGATGTTTTGTTACTTTGTGGAAGTTGAGGTTCTTTCCTAATCCCAGTTTTGTTTCTTAGGACCGTATTGGCCGCCCCTCAGAGACTGGCATTATTGGTATCATTGACCCAGAGTGTCGAATGATTGGCCTGCGACTCTATGATGGCCTCTTCAAGGTTATTCCACTAGATCGGGACAATAAAGAGCTCAAAGCCTTTAACATCCGCCTGGAGGAATTGCACGTCATCGATGTCAAGTTCCTATATGGTTGTCAAGCACCCACCATTTGCTTTGTCTACCAGGTACTGAATTGGGAGGAGAAAGGGAAAAACTGGTTGGAATGATGGGAATTGGTAGTAGCATAGGGAGAAGTGTTGAATGTGTTTGTCCTAAAGTATTTTGAACGATACAATTAATATGGGCCCGATTTTGGTTCCTTCTTGAGTGCAAAGTCCGTATTGTAGAGGCAGCAAGCTCTGTAGGGCTTGTAGCAGGTTTTAATCCTGAGATTATACTCTGTTTGTAGGCCTTGGAGGTTTTATAGGGTGACCCAGTTTATGCTTTGTCTGAGTCTCTTACTGGAATGCTAGGGGATTATGAAAACTTAGTCGTAGAGAAATTGTCTAGAATTGGCCTTTGTGAGCAAAGAGCAAATGTCTGTATCTGTCTTCTAAGAAGAGGTTTGCATTTGTCCAGCACTCATTTTCGGGTGACTTGCTGGCTCTTGACTTCTATTTTAGTCTGTGCCTAAAACTTCAGCAGAGCTGATCCTGGGCAGCTGTTCTCTGGTCTAGATCTGTTAAGTGGGGGTGGGGTTGTGGCGCTCCAGTCTAACATGCCAATGTCTTAGTAAAATCCTAGACTTTTAACAAAGGCCTGGCCAGCCTGAGGTCATTTCACTTCCATGTGGCTGAATAAATGACAGAAGGAAGTGACTGTCTAATTCCACATAGCAGGGTAGTATGTGTGTCATGTAAACACTCTGGTAGCTGTGTAAAGTGCTGGAAATACTTGTGTACTTTTGTGTATTTCTTAGCATCACTGTAAGTGCT